GGCGGCCAACTTTGTCCGCTTATCCTCTGGCACATCCTTATATTCAAAGATTTGCACATGGATTGTAGCCAGTCGGGAAACTCATTCTGATACATGCCTCCCCCAAACTCTGGCAAATCCATTTTGATATTGAAGTCCTTATGATTTCGACATCTGGGCTGATTTAGGGTTTTGATGTCCCGAAACTCCCTTTTATCCTCAGGAACCTCTCTCAGCCTCCGCCAATAATAAATCCCGAAGCGGCATGGTCGTTATTTCTCGTCGTTGATGTCTTCTTTGTGGAATGGCTTCAGATCCTCACCTCCCTTTCCCCGTCGACTCTCCTAATCACAGTCGAGGGTGATCTCTCCCTGGGTCCCGTCATCTCATTCGGACAATCTCTACTGTAGACGACGAATTTCACGCTATATCTCATCTCGGGTAAGTTCTAGCATATATTTTCGTGGTGGCATGATTAGGATCTGGGTTTAGGAGGTGGGTTGAAGGTAAGAAAGCACGAACGAGGGAAGAAAGAAAGAGGAGAAAAGAAGAAATAAGACTTTTTTTTCTTTTTGTGGGGTAGATGCTAGAGAACCCTAAGATGGGACTAATGTTGGGCTAGCTCTGATACCTACCGGAGTTGACCCAAACCATGACCAAACAACAAATATTATTGTTGAATCTAAAAGAAAATACAAGTGGACTCTTAAAAAGAAACAACACAAGAACATGTAAACAGTAAGCAACAATGACGACTGAAAAATAAGAAAAGAAAAACAACATAAAAGATAAAAATAGCCCCTCTAAAGGAGGGCGGCAGATCCGGAATGCAGAAAGTAAGCTGATGTAGGATGGGTTGGTAGCTGGCAGTAGGTGGCGGCAGTGCTAAGTGAAGGCCAGGGAGGGTCGGTGTGGCTGCTCGACGGCGACGAGATGGTTGGATGGCAGCAAGATGTCTGGACCGCAGCAAGAAACAGAAAAATTCGGCTGCTAAAAGGCGGTGGGTCAGCCGGACAGCTGAGGGAACGGAAGGATCGGCGGGGGGAAGGCACCCGGATGGCTGGACAGCAGCAGGAAATGGAAGGACTGACTGCTGGAAGGCGACTAGATGGCTAAACAACAGCAAGAAACAGAAATATCGGCTACTGGAAGGCAGTTGGATGGTTGGTCAGTAGTAGAAAATAGAAAACTAGCTGCTAGAAGGATACTGGATGGTCGGACGGCAGCAAACAGGAAGATGGCAGGAAGATGGCAGCAGATCGTAAACAGAATAAATGAAAGATAACTATCCCCGTCAAATCGAGTTACAACCGGAGCACCACTCAAACCTTTGGAGAAGATCACCACCTCAAAATAACGCCTCAAAGGCAGCAAACTGAATTTAGAGACAATCCAAAAACTAACTCTAAAGCACTCAAATATAACATATATAACAATTGCTAGTAGTTAGAATAAAAAGTATGTGGAATTGGAAAGAAATATAAATAGGAAAGAGGGTAGAAAAGGCAAGCAATAGAATAGGAAGTAATTGGAATCGGAAAGAAATAGAAATAGAAAAGGGGATGGAAAAGGCAAGCAATAGAATAGAAAGGGGGAATCCACTTTGATAGAGGGATTAGATTAGGTAGAAGGAGAGAAAAGAGGAGATAATTCCTGCCCTAAGCAGGCCAGCCAGTCCAACCTCCTGTTGGACCAGAATATGTCCCAGTTTATTCAACTAGCCACCCAAGGAGCCCCGCATCACTAACAAAAATGACCCTTCTCCTGAAGAGTCTGGGTGTAGCCATGAAGGGGGATGCAAAGGAACTTGCTCGTGAAGCTTAAAGATCCGTCAAACCTAGTGAGTGATTTAGGGCAGGTGGCGGCAAGAAAACAATGTTAGTAATCATCCTTAATGGTAGTCATGATTTGAGATGAACTTGTTCCATCTACAAAAATACATAACTTGCTTAAGAAACTGCAAATATATATATATATAATGAATGGAGTCGTCTCCTCCCACGCTCGGCTCTGCAAGGGGTTCGCTTAATGGCGAATCCTAGCAACTATTACGGACATTTATTGCATCTGATCCTTTACTCCCCTCGCTGCATATTCTCCGACGTCTTCTTTTCACCGCGTCTTCTTCGTCGTGACCATTTTGAAAAGTCGTCGCGGTCTTTCCTCCCGTCTGGAAGGTCCGCCGCTCTCCTTTTCTTCATTGTCGTCGCTTCTCTTCTTCCTCACCGTGCTTTTTTTCTTCCGCATTCTTCGGGCTCAAGCAAACACCGCCCTTTGTTCGAGCATAAATCGTCGCCTCTCGTCTTCTTCCTCGCAGTGTTTTTTTTCTTCCGTAATCCTTGGGCTCAAGCAGAAACTACAGGGTTTCCTCTTTCAAATTTCTCTCTACCGTCTACTACAATTTTGCTGCTCTTTCGCCACGCCTCTTAACAATTGCGATGACTTTCGACATAACGTATGCAGTAGCCCTAGCGAGTGTCCACGCTTCAGATACTCCTAAATCGTGTTTTTTTCCTCCTTTTGAGTTGGCGGAGGACATCAAGAAACCTGGAAGGAAGAATGGGAAGTCTGCCATATTTTTTACAGAAGCTGAAAATTTTCAACTTGCTTTCTCCTGTCGTCTAAACTTGGTCGGGAAATTTTTTTATGTTCATCCCAAAATGGAGTTTATTCATAAGAAATTTGAGCTTACGCATCTTGTTGGAGAGTGAAAAATTGAACTTTTAAATGGAACACATTCTTATTCAACTTAATAATGAAGAGGATTACACGCGATTATTTGCTAGAAGGGTAATCTAGATTGATAACAGAGCAATGAAAATCTTGAAATGGTCGATGGACTTTGACCCACAAACGGAACCACCAATCGTTCTGGTCTGGATTCGCCTTGCTGGCCTGAAAATTCACTATTTTACTAAAAATGTGTTGTACTTTGTTGCCTCAGCTTATGGTAAGTCACTCAAAACGGACATTCTTACTTTCAATCTTTCTCGTTCATCTGAAGTCAGAGTAATTGTTGAAAGAGACATCACTTCAGCTGCTTCTGAAGAAATTTGGTTAGGCACACAACACCATGGATATTGGCAAAAGGTTGTGATTGAGCATTTTCTTTCGTATTGTTCGAACTGTCGTATGTTCGGCCACTCCAGTTCTCAATGTCACCATCTACACCTCCACCTCAGACCAAAAAAACAAAGTGTTCCGCCAGAGGCAGTGTTTCCCTCTCCTCCTGATCAGCTCCAAGTTATTGACACTATTGATCATCAAAATAATACCCCTGGATATCCCTGAAGATGTCACTATCCTTGCGGGCAATATGTCAACCATTCAGCCTCCACACAATGTTATAGTTCCCCCGTCTTTGGAATCACCATTCGTGGGGGTGAGGGAGATTTTTCAGACTTCGCCTGTCCTAGAGCCTATTACTGATGTTGCAGGTGGCAATATTTCTATTGCTTCTCTACCGCCTCATCAGGTCGAGCACGATATTAAGAATACTCAGGCATATGGGGTTCATGATGTGCAACAGTCTACACCTGTCAAGCCACCTTTGGACCAATCCATTGATCATATGAGTCAATCCTCGGATGAGGAATGACAAGTTTACACATCCAGGAGGAAGAAGAAGAATTTAAACCTACTTGAGCTCAGGAACCTGATAGAAAATACTTTGGTTACTTCGGGTAATGTTACGCACCTCACCAATTTATTAGTCTGCTCCTTTCCGAGAACTAGAGGCCGTGGGAGGACTAAATTGGAACATCCCTAGCGCTTTGCGCCCGTTGATGGTTTTGGTTTTTTTACCTTATATGTATCTTTTCTTTTTTAAGATTTTGTGTGTTGTATTGTGTGGGTTGGACTTTCTTTTAGGCCCATCCATACAACCTATCTGTACTTTTTACTCTTTAATATATTAGCCCTTGGGCTTATAAAAAAAATAAAAAAATCTCACTTCTATCCATTTGATAAAAGAAATTAATAGCAATACTGATCCTGGGGAGAGTAGCAAAGGAAAGCTTCCAATCCCGGTAGAAAAAAGTCTCACTAGGATCATGGTATGCTGAGAATGAGATCTGCAGTTGACAATGATACCAATTGAATTCGATTTACGAGTGTGAAATTTCGTAGAATGTCAGTAAATTGCATGAGGATGAAAACAGACAGCAACATTGTAAGCGTGGAAAATGAAAACTCGTGGATAAATAGATTGTGTAAACTTGGGAATGAATGGTAAGAACATGGGATTAGTCAAGTAAAACTGTATAAGAACAACACATAGTTGCGGGCACACAACAGCAGAGATCGAGGACCTGCTTGTGCAGTGCAGGGATGGAACGAGCTTGAGTCACAGGATAGGTCATAGGTCAAGTGATGAGGCGGTCATGTAGGCAAGTTCTCATACGTGGATTTGCAGTAAAACCTATGCAGATGTGGCTATGGGTTTAAGGAATCGAGATGGAATCCACAGGTGAGTCATCTTCAGAGGTCATGAGTAATGGAAATCAAAGAGAGAGAAATTAGCTCTACTATCAAAATTGATGCAATGGAAAAACTCTATGCATCAAATTTGGGGTGATCTGCATGCATAATTTGGATTTAAAAAGCGCTCAATTAACCTCACAAATCAAATTTCATTCATCAATGTTCATCAAATACCTCAATTACAAACTATCAACTCCTATTTGTAGAAAGAAGGCTACAACAATAAGGCCATCCAATATTTTCAGTTCCATCAAGTGAGCTTACAGGGAACTTACAGTAAAGTAATGAAGTTTATTGATATTAGGATATATACTTAAAGATGTCTGAAGTTGGACTCCACCACCAGAGTATGACCTTTTGGATGTAAAGACATAATGCATGACATGCCATGCTCAAAAATGGTAAAGAACTAACAATAATATCACAAAAATTTTCTGTGTTATCAATAACTTAAGTTAATCCTTTTATAAAGTAATCCCGATAAAAAAAGAAATCATCATAAAAATATATATTGAAACCATCTGCAAATAAATATTGACCTGATATTGTTGTCACGATTTGACAAAAACCTTCCCAATATATTTATTGCAAGAACTCGAAGACCACTCGTAGCCTCAATACCCATTATAGTTTCGACACATTCATAGAGAATTGCATTGCCAGCATTTTTGTTTGACTCAATTTTAGTGGCAACCTGAAAAATAGCTCATGAAGTCAGCAAATAACACAATTAATATAGTTATAAAACACAATAAAAAAGTTATCACTGCCAATTCCTAAGTAGCATTATTACGATCTCCTTTTTTCACGACAGCAGACAAAATACTACATACATGTAGGAATGACAAAATACTACATACAATAAACATAAAGTTAGATCTTCATTTAATTTTATTTTGAAACGAGGAGCAAAAAGACAATAAAACATTGGAACATAATTGTTGAATAAATGACAGATGTCAGTCAGCATAGCAACCGCCACCATTATCCTTACCCCTGTTCCAAATATTTGGGGCCATTTTAAGAATCCTTCTTTTCCATTTATTCCTATCAGGTTGTTCTTAACCCAAACTACGGTGAATCTTCATGTCCTCACAAATCCTTTTTAACTTCTAATGCCAGAAATTGTAGGTTCTGGTATGTTGATGGCTTGGAATGATTTAGCATTAGTAAATACTGAATTTTTTATCAATAAATGATCCTTTCGATAAATTTTTCAATTGGTTGTTATACAAATATATAGCCTTCAACCATTCTGAACACTTCTCACAACTCCCAATCACATTTTTCTGTAGCAAGAAAGTATCTCTAATGTTGAAAAATGCAAATAAAAAGTTACATGACTACTTGCTTGCAAGCGAATGGAAGCATAGATAATAAGTAATTGCTTATTACTTATAAGTTTAATCTATGATATTCAGTAATAAAATTTGTGTTTCATCAGGCAGAAATGACGCACTCAGGCAAACACACCAAGAATGAGAAAGAACTGAAGTTAAACAGCATTTAAAAGTAGAAGTTAACTCACAAGTGCACTTGATACCGGAGTTAACTAGAATCCGATAGGAAAAACAAAATTTTATTACTTAAGCAGCAGATTACAATCAAGACTCAAAACAACATGGAAAATCGGCAACACACTAATATCCGATTAGGGCTGGATAAGACAATCCTTGGACAGTGGGGAGAAAATGTCAGAAATTGGTGACGGTAAAAGGAAGGGAGTGTGTGTTGAAGGCAGAGTTTGGTGGAGGATGGAAGGGCATAGAGGGCTGCGATGGAAGCTGGAAGTGGGGTCTAGAGGTAAGCTGCTCAGCACAGCTACTGAGGGTGGGGTGCAGCCTGAAGGGAAAGTAGGAAGGTGGATAAGTGAGCAGGAGGGTGGTTATCGAGTATGTGGTGGCAGCATTGAGGAGACTTGGAATTCGGCGGCTGGAACAGGAAGGAAGGGTGAGCGCTGAAGGCAGCGAGCAGGGGAGGGAAAGGTGCGTGAAAGTAGATTAAGATAGTCACCATCTCGGAGCAGGATATAGTCGGAGCACCACCTGTATTCAAATACAGCCCTAATTAAAGAAAATGCCGGCTGCAAGAAATCTGAAATCAGAAAAGAACTAAACACTAAAGCAGATGAGCAGTATGTATACAATAGTAGGTAGAATAGGAGGGGGAAGCAGGGGCGTCAGTTCCCCACCCAATAACATAGACGGCCCGTCCAGCCTCCCTGCTGGACCGGCACCTCCTTGCTGAGCCGGTTGAACTGGTTCAGCCCAAGCCCCCACATCAGCACTACTACACGTTTGTAAGGAAGAATTAGTAGAAAAAATGAAATAAACAGTCATTCAGAGCTAAGAATTTATTAACAAAAACAATTTTCACATTGCAAAGAAAATGGTAGAGTGATGGTTAAACTGCATCGAAAAGTAAAAGTTGACTTACAATTGCACTACTAAATGTTTCTAAGGAAAAATTAGTAGAAATAATGAATTAAACATTCATTCAAAGCTAAGCGTTGATTAACAAGCACAAATTTCACATTGCAGAGAAATTGGGAGAGTGATCAGCAAGGCTTTAAACTTGTTGTGGTATTAATTAATCCAAATTTTGTGAAAAGATTAGTGCCCGACAAGAAAACATATCAAGAAACAGTGGGAGGATTAGTGCGTACGGTAAAAGTTATCCATGTGAATAGCCCTTATTATCATGCATGCGATGCGGGGTTCATGGGGGATCGGCTGGGCGCAAGTCCGGCACGGCTGGACCGGCTCCTCTTGGTGGGGGGCCCACCACCCCCATCCTTTCTCTTCTTTCCTTTCCCTTTTTTCTCCCTTCCTTTTTCTTCCCTTTCTTCCTCTTCCTGTTTTCCTTTCTACGCCATTCCCAAATTTAAACCCTTTCCTAAAAGCCTAAATCATGATTTTATTTTCATTTCTTAGTACAAATGCTTCCTAAATTAGGTCAAGTTTTTTATAAATAGGAGTTGATGTGTCTAGAGTTAGGGATCTTAATTTTGAAATCCGAATTCAATTTTATCTAAGTATTTCCCACTTGAGGGTTGTATCGTACGACGAGGATGGTGCTTCAATTATAACCTCATCTGAAGTGGTGTTTATCTTCATCGTTCCGACTTCTACCCGCAGTCCTGCAACCCGCCGACATTCCAGCCATTCCAGCAATCTAGCCGGCAGCTTCCCTGCCACCCTTCTACTCTTACAGAGCGTCGCCACTCCTCCTGCAACCTCTCTGCAAGTTACCACCCTCCCTGCTACCTCTTAGACCACCGCCAGTGCCTGCAGCCTCCTGTCGCACTTACTGGTCCTCTCCTAGAGTGTCGCCAGTCCCCTGCAGCCCCTCTATAGATTGTCGCAACCTCTACTACACTCTCAAACCGCCGACAGCTCCCCTACAGCTTCCATGCAGGTCGTCGCATCACCTGCAGCCTCCCTCACACCAGGCTACAACCCAACTCTCTGACGTACAGTCCGCTGCCGCCTCCCTCCCAAAAGGCCGCAGCCATCCTCGGGTCACCCCAACGCCTCCAGCCGCCTCCCTCTGCTCCTCCGCTTTGGCCACCATTCCTCTCTCAATTCCTC